TCTTTATCAATGATAGTGCCAGATCCTATACTCTTTCCAGTTAATCCATGGAAATCTGCCAAAATAAATATAATAAACAATCATATAGACCAAAGAAAACATAGATTATTAAAACTATTCATACTATGAGTATTTGCAAAATCCCAAAATTTACCCCTTTGAACTGACAAATTGACTACGGCAGGTCCAACACAGGCAGCTGCATTGGCAATGGTATCTCGGGTAAGACAATTAGTACGGGAATGTGCTGTACCAGCACCACCATCAACTACCGCAGAAGTTTCTTTCTTTACATCAGATGATGTTGCTTCATCTGAACTTGTTCTACAAACAACAAATGGAAACCTACCTGCATTAGGTCGTAACAATTGAGTTAACCAAGTGACTGGAAATACAGCCAAGGGATAACCAATCTAAAAGTGGAGTATATATAAAGATGCATGCACTATACAAGTTTGTGAAGTTCCCAGGGAGAGATATGAAGGGTAGAATAAGTCCCTAATACTACCCCATTTCCATCGGATCGAGTCTTGCAGTGGCTTAGGAATTGAAACTGATATGAGACGGGCATCTGAAAGCAATTGATTTCCCTTTATCAAAATTAAAGTTAATAAATATAATACCACGACAATAAAAAAACCATTAGAATCCCACACACAGTAGGACTTGGGGAGTATGTGTACGCAAATCTTACCCTTATCAAAAGTAGAGAGATTGTTTCCAAGAGACCCTGAGTTCAAGAACAACAAAAGTCATATCACAATAAATAAATACTCCATCTGTACCACTTAAAAGTTTACAGCAAGTTTGCGTGTGACCGAAATCATTTTCCATTCAACTTATTTAATAGTTGGTATAAATTTTTATAAAAATTGTATATACTTCCTCCATCCCGAAATAGATTACAATCTTTTTTACTTTAACATCTCTATAACTTTTATTTTTGTTTGTGTGCTTTTATGAATAATTTGATAAAATAAAATATTTTTATCACCTCTTGTCTTGTAGAACTTTTGGCAAATTTTTTTAATATCTAAGTTGTATTTTATATTTTTATACCAATTTGTAAATAAAATGATTTCAAAAAACACAAGGTTTGACTCCAAAAGTGTAATCAATTTTGGGACGGAGAGAGTACTTAAAACTACATAAAAAGATGTACAAAATAATAGGTGACATGTCTATATTATTTTATCAAATGAGACATGATAACTGATAATGGGATAATCTTTCATATTAATGTAAGAGAAATTTACCTAAATAGGACTAAAACATAATGACTTTCCCAATATAGGACCATATGTTTTTATTTCCCAATGTAGGACCTTTGGTCATTATGAAGTAGTCATTATTCAAGTAAATGTCCATCATTACTGGACATTATTCCTCCCACTAGGTCATTATTAAGTCCTATTTAGAGAATAAAAAAGTTTAAGTCCTATATTAAGAAAGTCATTATGTTTTAGTCCTATTTAGTGCAAATTTCACTTAATGTAATGATCATTCCATTCCGTTTTCTAAACGAAAAATCGAGTACATTTCCAAACACTTTTGTCAAATGGGGGCAAAAAGACTCAAGAGCATAGTGATTGGGACAAAGAATCGAACGCTTACTAGAATCAGTGTAACTAGAGGAGTAGTATACTACTCCAGACCCTGCAACAGCCCCGGCTACAACACGCAGGATTGATTTCTTATCCCAAACTGTGATTTTTCTCTACAAATTCAAACCCAATGGGGACGACAATCAAGTAAAAAAAAATGCACTATTACAGTATCTTTCTCAATTATTATTTTTTTGCATAAATGAATGCGAATTCAAATGAAATGATCGGAAATTTTCGCATACCAGAAGGTGCCTCATGATCGGAACAATTCGAACAATCCGCCAGATTCATTCAACTGTCAAGCTGAACCAACGCGATCCTGCATCAACAGAGAAACCCCATCTGTCGCCTTTTTTTTTGTAGAGCAGAAGGAACTTGAGAAAAAAGAAACAAAACGGAACTTTAATTGGGCTTGTAATAGTCATCGTAAGGGTGAAACAAAAAAAGCCCATCAAAGTCAATTTCTTTTTCATTACACATAACATTTCACTCAAAAAAGAGTAAATTCCATAAAAGGTCCCCAGTTATAGGTCGTTTTACATATTTAGTCCCTATATATCAAATATTACTAATTTGGTCCCCAATTATTATATTTATTTTTACGAATGGTCCTTTGTTAACATTTTCATTAAAACGTGGATAAAATTATAAATTCACACTCCTTTCTCTCCTCAATTAAGCTTTCTCCTCCCTTGTACTCCTTTCTCAAACCCGTCGCTGAGTTTCTAGCTTTGAACCCTAAACCAAAATCATCACTCTTCTCTCAATTGTTTGTCTAACTGGAGGAACGATCATTTAAATTTTGGGTTT